GTTGTTACTTAACCTATGAGCCTCAGCTTCCTCTTCTGGAAAGTGAGCTAAATAAAGAATAATACCAAACTTGCAGAATTTCAAAAACTAAGAGATTGTCTAACACCCCATGTGTTATTTTTGTGTTCTCAAGTAGACAGGATGATTTCTAAGGGTCATTTGAAGCTCTGTGACTTCGAGCAAGTCTTTGTCTCTTTCTGGGCATCAGAAACACAGAGACTAGCTACTAAGTCTTTGTCTTATCTACGTCTGTAGATTCGGTTTATTTCTCCTACCGTAGTGATCAGCAGTAAAACCTGTATTATCATAGAAAAAGCCTGCTTAGGAAACAAAGAAACTGGAACCACAGAGGAGTACAAATCATCAATGGCCCTAAAGAAAAGGTTGCCTCTATTTAGGGAGGGGCAGCCTAGAGTTCAGAGAGCGCCCTCTTGACTAGTCTCCTTCTTTACTAACTTAATTAGTAAAAGGTAACACACTGAAGTAGTGAACTTGAAGAAAGAGAAACCACTCCTGGGGAACCAAATTAACTAAGAAAATGGTTCCCTAAGGCTGATCCAAAGACTCTTGTTGTCTTTATCACAGGTGGGCATCAAAATGAGTAAAATAAGGACAAGTGATACATATAAAACTACATGCATCCATTTAAAGTACTGTCCTTTATTCTGACATTATGTCTTCCTATTTATTGGTTTTAACGATTTTTTTTTTTTCTAATGAACTTACTGTGAACCCTGTTGCGAGGAAAAACTCCTCTACCAACTTAGGTCCGATTGTTGGAAGTGGAAGGAGACCTGTAAATTAACTGAGAACAGATAAACCAGAGAAAAATTTATTACACACAGTGGAATATCCTACATAGAAAGTAACTCCTCGTACAGCTATGGGGAAACGTTTACATACTGGCTTAGTAAGACAGGGGAGTTGGTTTAGGGCTTCAAAGGATGGAAAGTTATGAGTGTTGTTTGTACAATTATTTGGAAATGTCCTGATGCCCAAGGTCAGTGCCTCTCTGATTGGAGACCTCCCTAGAAATGGGGTTTGTGGCAGCTGACTCTCCTAAAGCTCTATACTAGTTAGATAAGCCATGTTCAGATGTTTTCACATTGAAGTAATCTCTATCTATATCAGTTTCATGGGTTGTTGGTCTCGTTAGCCCCATTATTTGGGGGAGGAAATTTTCTCCCCAAATTTGTAAAATCTTATGTTTTATTGTAGGAGCCACTACAATAATGACACTGAGGGCCAGTGAGGTTGAAAATCATGAACTTGTAAAGCTGTCAATGTTCTCCATTCTCTGAGACAGGCCAAAAGTGTGCATGGGAACGGCCTTAATGGTTAAATTGGATTTGGGATTGTCCTTAATGGTAAAATTGGTTTTTCCCCTTTATAGCACAGTGATTAAGAGCATAGATTTCAGAGTCTGACAGACCTAAGTCTCATGTGTGACAATGAAACCTAATAACTTGTGACCTTGACAAAGTTATTTAATACCTCACAATTTCCTTATCCATAAAATGTAATGATTACCTTCTTTTTTTTTTTCTGTACGCGGGCCTCTCACTGTTGTGGCCTCTCCCGTTGCAGAGCACAGGCTCTGGACGCGCAGGCCCAGTGGCCATGGCTCACGGGCCCAGCCGCTCCGTGGAATGTGGGATCTTCCCAGACCGGGGCACGAACCCGTGTCCCCTGCATCGGCAGGCGGACTCTCAACCACTGCACCACCAGAGAAGCCCATGATTACCTTCTTTACAAGGCTGTTGCACGGCTTAGTTGAAAAAATATACACTAAAAAAAAATGCTTAGCATAGTGCTTGCCTCGATGTATTTTCTGACTGCATTGGAATGTACTGAATAACTAATGCTATTTGAAATTGTAGACCCCTTACAATAGAATTTGGCGCATAGTGGTAATTGATTGACCCCAAATCCTAAACTATAGTTGATCTGTTCCCATAGGTCTTGAAAAGAGAAGACTCTAAATCCATTGCTAGTACCCACAAACAATAATGTGGTTTATTTCATGAACCAGTTTCAGAGGGCTTTTGATTATACATTTGTCTTTTTATTCAAAGACATCACTACTGAGATTGTACAAAGCAGCAAAGATTCTTCAGAGTGGGGACGCTGGTGTTAAAGCAGTATCTAGGTTTAATCTACAAATTCCTCTACTTACTATCTGTGTGATGTGAGGCAACTCATTTGACCTCACTAGGCTTCCCCTCATTTGTAAAATAGGGGATAATTATCTTCCCTTACAAGATGTGTGAGGGTTAAATACAGCACTTGACTCATTACTCATAATATATCCAGTTTCGAAAGGGCTTTATTTAAGACTGAATTGATGAGACCAAGAATTAGGTAGAAAATGTGTTTGGTAACTCCTTAATCTCCACATTCAAACATGACAATCACACTCTAGATATGTCATTGAAAATAGTTCCTTTTTTTTTTTTTTTTTTTTTGCGGTACGCGGGCCTCTCCCTTTTGTGGCCTCTCCCGTTGCAGAGCACAGGCTCCGGACACGCAGGCTCAGCGGCCGTGACTCACGGGCCCAGCCGCTCCGCGGCATGTGGGATCTTCCCGGACCAGGGCACGAACCCGTGTCCCCTGCATCGGCAGGCAGACTGTCAACCACTGTGCCACCAGGGAAGCCCCAAAACAGTTCCTTTTGTAATGTGTTTTTATGTAAAGTAACAGGAGAGCTGAGGGCTTTTTTTTTGTTTTTTTGTTCTTAGCTCTTATTGCCTCATCACAGTCTAGGAGAGACACTCTTTAGTGACAGTCCTTGACTGAGTCATTGCAAGATGATTTTAAACAGCTGTCATACTGAATGCACAGGAGTAAGCCATTCATCTGCAACATCTGGCCACTGGTATGATTTCCCCAAACCTGCTGTGAAGTCTGGTTTCTGGAAGCCAAGAGCTCAGTCAATACGCCCACCCTATGACTTGCTCTTTTATAGGCTGAATTTTCAGACTGCATTAGAATCTTAAATTATAAAAAGACAAAAATGATTAATGTGAGTGCTCATGGTTTCTGCCATTCACCTACTCTTCTCAATGTGAGGAGTTATGCAGTTACTCAGAGCTGTGCACTGGAGTCTTATGATGCAGATTAAGAATGGGGAATAGGAGATGGAAAGATAGGAGGAAAGGAAGAAATTTAAATTTAGCCAAGAGACTGGGTTGATCTACATAATAAAAACTGAGAAAGGGTGGGGGAGGGGAAGAATGTTGGAAGGTTTGATTTTGTCTTTTTTTTTTTTTTTTTTGCAGTACGCGTGCCTCTCACTGCTGTGGCCTCTCCCGTTGCGGAGCACAGGCTCCGGACGCGCAGGCTCAGCGGCCATGGCTCACGGGCCCAGCCGCTCCGCGGCATGTGGGATCCTCCTGGACTGGGGCACGAACCCGTGTCCCCTGCATCGGCAGGCGGACTCTCAACCACTGCGCCACCAGGGAAGCCCTGATTTTGTCTTTTTGAAGATGGGCTATAGACAACACAGCTCAACAACTTGTTTGGTTAAATATTGGCCAAAGGTATTTATCTTCCTCAGTATGTATGGCCCATAGTAATACCATGTTAGTATTGAGTGAATTATTGGAGACAATAAAAGGTTAAGAAAAGCTGGGCTTCCCTAGTGGCACAGTGGTTAAGAATCCACCTGCCAATGCAGGGGACATGGTTTCAAGCCCTGGTCCGGGAATATCCCACATGCCGCAAAGCAACTAAGCCCGTGCGCCACAACTACTGAGCCTGTGCGCCACAACTACTGAGCCTGTGCTCTAGAGCCCGCAAGCCACAACTACTGAGCCCACGTGCTACATCTACTGAAGCCTGTGCACTCTAGAGCCTGTGCTCTGCAACAAGAGAAGCCACCGCAGTGAGAAGCCCGCGCACCGCAACGAAGAGTAGCCCCTGCTCGTGGCAACTAGAGAAAGCCCGCGCACAGCAACTAAGACCCAACACAGCCAAAACTAATAAATAAATAAACAAAAATAATAAATAATTTTTTAAGCTAATAATTATTATAAAAATTATAATAAAACTACTATTAAAAACCCTATCACTAACACATCTAATCTCATGTTTGTGTATTAGTGAAGCATTAGTATTTGTAGTGATCATTCATTAACAATTCTATAGCATCTAAACACTAATGCTGCCCTACACCATCTGTAAGGATGGTCAACTTCCACTTCTGACCATCTGGCGCACATTCTTTTCTGTACCATTCATTTGATGTTTAATCACATATTCCCTAAGAGCTAAGCAATCTCATGCGATTATGCAATAATAGGGGGAGAGGGGGCCCATTGGATTGTAAATTTGGAAATAAGAATTGTAATGCAGAGTCTGTTACTGACTTGCTGTGTGATTTGGGCAAGGTCATTTTACCTATGACTTAGTTTCTTCAACTATAAAAATGACGTTTCTGAAACTAAAGTCACTAAGAATTCTTCCTCGTCATGGGGTTCTTATATTATACTTTGTTTTTTGGTAACCTCCCTCACTAAATGCACTCATACAATATATATTATATCAGTTAATTATCTCAATAGTTGTGTGAATGACTGTCAACCTAGATATGCTCTCTAGGAAGTGTTCTTGGGCTGTCTGATGGGTGCCCAGTCTGGATTAGGTATAGTCTCTGTGGCTTTATAACAAGTACCGTGGACTGGTCTGTAATACAATGTTATGTAGTATTTATCTGTTTATTTGACACTTCCTCTTCTCCACAAAACTGTTAAGTTCTCTGAAGGATTTATAAATTATGCAAGTTCCAGCACATAAATAGTACCTAGCATAGGTATTTAATGAAATGAATGAACGGAGTTCCAGGTCCTGCAAAAAAATTAGAAATTTCTGCAGTAAAACCACTGGCCTTTTCCAGAAAGCAACTGTTACAAACGGATGACCAAGGAATCTGAATCTTGAAGCATTAGTTTTAAATTTTAAAGCAAATGCCCAGAATAAATGTAGACAAGACACACTTTACATAAAATTTGTAACATTTATTTAGGCCAAAAAAAAAGAAATCCCCAAAACAAAAATCTGTATACACAACAGTAATACCTAAGTGATGTCCTGATTTAAAACACCATGATTCATGTACAGGACACTCCCATTCATCTGGCCACAGTAAGAACAGTGCCTTCAGTCCAGACAATTGACAGCCTTTGAAATGTATACACATTACACTTTCCAATGAATTTTTCATATCCTTTAAAAGGAGTTAAACTCTTCCATCAGAATTCAAGCAAAAGATAGCTTTTTCCATACTCACAAGTCAGTGAGAATTTGACAGTGGGAATTCTACAAAAGTCAGGGATTTAAAAATTTTATTCTTACAGATTATCTGAAAGTATAAATCTTGACATAACATCCTCCCATTTTTAAATGCTCTCAAGAATTTCCTGCTTTTATGAAAGTATGTCTCAGCTTTCATTAGCAAAGTAGCTTCTTGCTTCTAAGCTGATTAAAGTAAGCTTAAAAGAACCCAATTTGAACAATTTTCCAAAATAAGTTCAAAATTAAGCACATATTATTAATGAACTACATTTATGATTTCTCATAATTTGATTAATTTGGATTTTCTAAATATTCTCAATAGCCATTCTATCTAGCTATGCAGTTAGGTTGTGCTGTCCAAAGGAGCTTTGCTTCATCCAGAGAAACGAGAAATAGCATTGATTTTCCCATAATTTACCCAAAAAAATTGGGGGAGGGGGAGAAACAGGCAGAGAAAGTTCTCTCTTAGGCTATCAATCAGTTAACATAAGAATGTCTTAGGTTAAGATTTGGAAACCAAAGAATGCATAATTAGGAGTGTACATGTCACACAAAATCTGTGAAATACTAAAAAAAGATAAAGCAGTTACTCATTTAAAGCACACTCAGCAAAATTTCCTATCATACCGCTATTTTCACCACTGGATGAAGTCTGGATTTGCATTATTACTTAAATAAACAGTTCGTGAGTTAATACAAAAAATGAAAAATGTGTCAATACAAAGCAAATGGTAAAATTTAAATATCCAATATCCACACAATCATTTGAAACTGCTACAATGGATTTGAGAGGGAAACCATAAGTTTGCAAACCTCTCTGTAAGCTATCTCGGAACACTACTCTGAAGCCCTAGCCATATAAAGCCCCCAAATAAGTAACATACAGATGAAACTGCCCACGTCAGCCAACAGTATGATATTGCCTTTAACTTACACCTTCAGTTTAATAATACTGCTTATCTCAAGATAAAAGTTGCACAATAACCAAATAATGTAAACAGACCATTAGAGGGCAGGAAAGGGGTGGGTTTCAACATATACAACAAAGTAAGTTTATTTTCCTGGCTACTCATGACCTCTTTTCAACCTTGGGTATTGCTGCACCTTGTTCTATGGGGGGACAGGGTGGGGTGTCAGGCATTTTAAAGCACTAAGCCAAAACCATGGTTCATTAATCGATTCCACCCTAATTTAGCACATAATGAACCATAATAAAATATGTTTTCATCAAAATGTGCTCCAAAGGTCTAGATGATGGCCCAATACTATCTTGAGCATGGCATAATTTAAAATATAGCCAAATGAAAGTGACTGGGGAGAAAAAGGGCCAACTCAAAAGGTCCCACTAGCAAGATCAACTTCCTAGGCTGGATATACAGCACTGATATTTTAAAACATGAATCCTTGATTCTTTGGAAGCTTGCAAACAAAAGATATCATGAAATTAAATTCCCATAGTTGCTTTGTGGGATTCATCTCTACCTTGGGTAATTCACTTAAATTGACTAGTGCCACTAAACGGCATTTCTGTCCAAGGGTGAGGAGCGGCAATATTTAAGGTCAATTCCTGGATCTGTGAGTCTGATATGACTTTTTTAATTCTCAACTAAGATCAGTAACCACTGAGTCCTTGGCCAGAGAGTAAATTAACCCCTTATTACTACTTGATTTATGTTCCTTTTCACCTGCAAAAGGAAAAAATGATTTTTTAGAGTATAAAGAGAACAGCAAAACTGACTTGATGGAAAGAATGAGATACCCTAATTATTTTTGCTTTAATTTCAGACTGTTCTTGTTTTACTCAATAAATTTACACATGCATCCTTAGAGTTTAAAAAGTCTAATTCCATTTCCTTTTTCCTTTAGTAGATCTATTTCCTTTTTCCTTTAGTAGATCTAAACCTTGCTGTTGCTTGTGGACTGATGTAGTGATAATCTGCAATATCTGAGCACACCAATGATTTGAGAAATGAGTGGTTCAACCCTAGTCTAAATTGTGCTTGAAACAGCACCTCTAAGCCACTGAAGAGGTAACCCTTGAAGGCACCAAGTTCTGTTACATTCTAGTGTACAAATGCAAACGGGAGGCCTAATAGATTCTTTCTGTAGAGACAGGCCAGTTACACCTCATAATTTCAATTTTTATATATATATATATGTATATATACATATACATATATACTGTATTATAGCCAGATTCAAGACCTTATAGACAATTCAGTGCCATAATTAGGTACACAATTTTAAGAGCCATCCCAACCACAAAGGCACTAAATTTTTTATATATTTGGGATGTGCCTAATTATTTTGCTTTTAAGATTCAAAAGTATCTGGCCATTACCAGTGCTCAAAGTAGCAAATTTCAATTTCAATTTAAATATATTTGAGTCTTCATCTATCAACAAGTTATTCTGAGTAATGAAGGGATTTATTGTTTTCCATACATTTTTAGCCATTTTTGAAAACAATTCATAAAGACAAAAACCTAGGATTAGCCTAGAAGGAACATGTACTTTTGTCTTGAATAGGATACAATAGAAACTTGAAGCCAAACTTCTCAAATAGGCTTTTCCTTAGCTACACAAGCTAGAAGACCTAGAAATGCTCTACATAGCTAGCGACTCCAAGCTTTTGTAGGCCATCCTATTTTCTACATTTTGCCTTAGATATTTAAAACCCAGAAAAGGGGGGAAATTTTTAAAAGATTTTCCATTTCCTCTGAAATAGAAATAATCTGTGAAAATTTATCTCACACCTATAAAAATTCCTTAAACTGGTTAAGTCAGAATTAACCCATAATTTAATATGGTTTTTAATGATTCTAAATATCTATTTTCATTTAGTTTAAGTTTTGACTCCTGTGAAGGAGTACCAAATAATTCAAGTATGACTACTGTGATAGTGGTGTGAAACGTGTATGTCAAAAATATTATCAGCATACTAATAAGCCAGCTCCTTTCTAAATAAAAATGCTTCTGAATAATCACCATGATTTTAAACGTATTATTTAAAATCTCTATTGAAAACATTTTGGCCATCTATGAAAAAGATGCAGTCATCTAAGACTGCAGGTTAACTTTATTCACAAACTAAAATTTAAGGTGGATACTCTGGTTTCTCTTCAGATCGTATAAATCTTTTGCCTTTTTTTTTGTTTAATGAAAAATAACTCTCTTGGTGACTTGCTGCCTCCCAACTGCCATTATTGACAACTGATTCTTTACTGTAACAACTCTTAAAGGAAAGGCAACTGTCTGAAAAATAACCCATCACAAAATATTTCCTTTTATGCACTGCAACTAGAATCATTACATTTAACAATAGTCTAATTCTTCTTGTTTACTTTTGGCAGTGAGATGTGGATATCCTTCCCCAACATGAAAATATTAAGATACATGTAGTCTGAAACAAAAGAAAATTAACTTCTCATGGCAAAATCTACTGTTGTTAATTGTATTTTAAGTGAGCAGGTAATACCATGTGTAGTCTCTATTCCACTGAACAAAATGACTTTGAAATAGAGGGAAAAGGATGGTCTGTTTGAGGAAGAGACGATTTTTGTAAAATTCACATTTTCACAACAATATGACATAAAGAAATTCAGACAGTTAATCTCTAACGCAGAATGCTGTAATATTTTAAACTGTGGTGCTTGGGGAAATATTTCTAGAGAGTAACCAGCAGTCTGTGTAGGAAGCAGCAGCCCATGCCTCCAGGAATAAATATGAAGAACAAGCTACTGTGCAATGCCTCAGGAGAGGTGGGCCCCAGAAGATTAGCCAGTCCCAGTTTAAAAACTATATACCACAAGAGCAGACCTTTTCCCAGTTCCTAAACTCTATTTTCCCTTAGTAGTTTTTCTTTTTAATATATTTTCTGCCAGCCATCCTAGCACCAGCCAGTGAGTAGCTTTCACAAGGAGAGGACTCAGATTTCCATTCTTTCACACTAAGAAGGACATCTTATAAAAGATACACAGACAGAGAATAAAGGCATTTTATACAGAAGCAATATAAAATTTACAACTGAAGCAGTGCCAGAAATCAGGTTAACAGCTTATCTGAAGCTGCAAATTGACTGAAGGGACTTTAAGATCAGAAAAGTCTGGCCTAAGGGTCCGTGCAAACTTCCTCATAAAACTGTAGAATTTTAAGCACAAGTAAGTTCAAACACTGAAGGATGTGGAAATTTTCCTAAAAGGCAATGATCAAGGAAGAGACTCTTCTCATCTGATAAGTTAAAAATCACAAGACAAATCAGAGACTGTTCACATGGGCAGTACTGTACATTATCAATCCCATACTCACTTTATGACTCTTGTTGCAGAAACCCCCAAAACATCAGAGAGGGTAAGATATTCCAAGTGAATCTATCACAAAAAGAATTTCTGTGATTCAATTATCCAATTACCTATAGCTATCAATTTAGTCTGGCCTGGGGCTGCTTTTTACAGGGAGGTGGTCTTCCATGGCGTACAATGTGTTTCTCTAAGCTGTCCAGGATGGCCACAGCAATCTGTTGGACATGAGGATCAGTCTGTTCATGTTCTTTGATGTTGTATAAATGCTGCAATCCTCCTTCCTCAATCAGCATGCTGCAATACCTTGAGGCTGAAAGAAAACAGGAGAAAGACCTTTCCTTAAAAAACTTAACTTTTTTTGTGGAATAATTTTATTTTTTTGCTTAAATTTAAGCTGTTTTGCTATTGCTCACTAACATAAGCTAGAGCTTGAAAAATATCTCTGTAATGATGTTATGCCTACACTACAAGGCCCACACATAGATCATAGATAATACACATACCATTTTATATATATATATATAATATATATAAAAATCATAACCATAAGACATAGACAATCTTCTTTGACCCCCAAATCATGAGTAAGATGGGTACTGTTACACTTTTATGCATTTCCTATGTTAAAAAAAAAATTTAGGGCTTCCCTTGGGGCGCAGTGGTTAAGAATCCGCCGGCCAATGCAGCGAACATGGGTTCGAACCCTGGTCCAGGAAGATCCCACATGCCGCGGAGCAACTAAGCCCGTGCGCCACAACTACTGAGCCTGCGCTCTAGAGCCCGTGAGCCACAACTACTGAGCCCACTCGCCTAGTGCCTGTGCTCTGCAACAAGAGAAGCCACCACAATGAGAAGCCTGTGCACCGCAATGAAGAGTAGCCCCCACTCGCTGCAACTAGAGAAAGCCTGCATGCAGCAACGAAGACCCAACGCAGCCAAAAATAAATAAATATTTAATAGCAGTCATATTGTACATGCAGTATTCATTCTTTTTAAATATTTTTTTCCTTTTGCCTTTTTTTACACATGCCTTTTAAAGTTTTTTTAGTTTTAGTCATATTTATTTAGTCATATATAAAATTTATAAAGTTTATTTTTTTAGTTTTAGTCATAAAGTCTAATTTACACACAATAAAACACACCTAATTTAATCTATAGTTTTATGAGTTTTGCCAAACGTATACACTTGTGTAACCACCAACACAATCAGGATATGGAATATTTTCAACAACTAAAAAGTTTCCTTGTGCACCTTTGAAGTCAATCTCCCCTGCACCCTTCATCCCAGGTAACCACTGTTCTAATTTCTGTGATACAGACTTTTGCCTACAACTTCATATAAATGGACAGCATGTAACCTTTTGTGTCTACTTTTGCTCAGCATGATGTTTTCGAGATGTTTCCAAGTTGTTACCTGTATGTAATCTTTTTTTGTTGTTCTAAGCTGAGTATTCCACTGCATTGAATACGTCACGTTTTTAATGGACATTTGTTGGATGTTCTCTCTCCCTGAGCATTTCATTACAATGACTAAAAATGCTATAATCATTCTTTCACAAGTTTTTTGGGAACTTTTCATTTCCTGGATCTTGAGAAAATACCTAAAATGATGAGCAAATGCTAAATGTATGTTTATTTTTTTATTTTATTCTTGATTTTTATTTTATTTTTTTATACAGCAGGTTCTTATTAGTTGTCAGTTTTATACACGTCACTGTATACATGTCAATCCCAATCTCCCAATTCATCGCACACCCATCCCCCCCCACCACCACTTTCCCCCCTTGGTGTCCATACATTTGTTCTCTACATCTGTGTCTCAATTTCTGCCCTGCAAACCGGTTCATCTGTACCATTTTTCTAGGTTCCACACATATGCATTAATATACGATATTTGTTTTTCTCCTTCTGACTTACTTCACTCTGTATGACAGTCTCTAGATCCATCCATAAATGTATGTTTAACTTTATAAGAAATCACCAAATTGTTTTCTGAAATGGTTGTATAATTTTTCATTCCCATCAGCAATGAATGAGAAAGTTGCTTCATGTCCTCATCAACACTTGTCATTGTCCACCTTTTTGATTATAGGCAGCCTTCCTAGCAGGTGTAAAGTGGCTTACACCTCACTGTGGTTTTAATTTATATTTTCTAATAACTAACGATGCTGAACTTTTTTTTTTTTGCCATCATGACAGTATCTTTATTTTTTTAATTTTATTTATTTATTTTTTTGGCCACGCCCTGTGGCATGCGGGATTTTAAGTCCCCCGACCAGGGATCAGACCTGTGCCCCGTGCAGAGGAAGCATGGAGTCTTAACCACTGGACCACCAGGGAAGTTCTGAACTTCTTTTAATGTGCTTATTGGCCATTTGTGTATTTTCTTTGAAGATCCTTTGCCAATTTTTAAAGTGGGTTATTTTCTTTTTTACTATTGTGTTTATATATTCTGAAAACAAATCTCTCATCAGGTATATAATTTGCAAATATTTTCAACCGTTCTGGGAGTCGTCTTTTCACTTTCTTGATGGTGTCCTTTAAAGCACAAAAGTTTTAAAATTTTTTATTAAATCCAATTAGACTACTTTTCTTTTGTCACATGCTTTTGGTGTCCTATATAAGAAATCACTGCTTAATCCAACATCATAAAGAGTTATACCTATGCTTTCTTTTAAAAGTTTTATATGCTTATGTATATGTAAATGTAGTTCTTATACTTAGGCCTGTAATCCATTTTTGAGTTAATTTTTGTATATGGTATGAGGTAAGGGTCAAAGTTCTTTCTTTTACATGTGCCTACTCAGTTTTCCCAGCACCATTCGTTTAAAAACCTGTTCTTTCCCCACTGAATTGTCATGGCACCCTTGTTAAAAATCAATTAACCATAGGTGCATGGTTATTTTTGGGCTCTCAATTCTATTGCATTGATCTATTCAACTATCCTAATGATGCTGAGCATTTTTCATGTGTTTATTTGCCATCTGTAAATATTTGGTGAAAAGTCTGTTCAACTCTTTCGTCCATTTTCTTGTATTCTTTTCTTATCATTAAGTTTTGAGAGTACATGGTATATTCTGATCACAAACGCTTTATCAGACATGTGATTTGAAAATTTTGACCCAGTATGTGCACTGACTTTTCAATTTCTTGACAATGTCTTTCAAAAAGCTGAAATCCTTAAGTTTGATTTGTTCATGTCCAATTTAGCAGGTTTTTCTTTTTCTTTTTTTTTTTGCTGTTCTGTGTGGCTTGCGGGATCTTAGTTCCCCAACCAGGGATTGAACCCGTGTGCCCTACAGTGGAAGTGTGGAGTCTTAACCACTGGACTGCCAGGGAAGTCCCTAGTTTTTTCTTTTGTAGATCATACTTTTGTGCATATTTAAGAATTTGATCTCAACAGATGCAGAAAAAGCTTTCGACAATATTCAACACCATTTATGACAAAAACCCTCCAGAAAGTAGGCATAGAGGGAACTTACCTCAACATAACAAAGGCCATATATTACAAACCCACAGCCAACATCATTCTCAATGGTGATAAACTGAAACCATTTCCACTAAGATCAGGAAGAAGACAAGGTTGCCCACTCTCACCACTATTACTCAACATAGTTTTGGAAGTTTTAGCCACAGCAATCAGAGAAGAAAAAGAAATAACAAGAATCCAAATCGGAAAAGAAGAAGTAAAACTGTCACTGTTTGCACATGACATGATACTATACATAGAGAATCCTAAACATGCTACCAGAAAACTACTAGAGCTAATCAATGAATTTGGTAAAGAAGCAGGATACAAAATTAATGCACAGAAATCTCTTGCATTCCTATGCACTAATGATGAAAAATCTGAAAGAGAAATTAAGGAAACACTCCCATTTACCACTGCAACAAAAAGAATAAAATATCTAGG